CTCTACCCAGGGGGACAGCTTGAGGCTCTGTCTCAAAAAAAAAAAAAAAAAAATCACAAGAAGGAAAGAATGTTCTTTTTTGGGGGGGAGGGGACAGAATTTCACTTTGATGCCTTGGATAGAGTGCTGTAGTGTTAATAGCTCACAGCAACCTCAAGCTCAAGCAATCCTCCTGCTTCAGCCTCTCATGTAGCTAGGACTACAGGTACCTGCCACAATGCCTGGCTAATTTTTTTAGAGATGGTGTCTCTCTCTTGCTGAGGCTGGTCTTGAACTCCTGAACTCAAGCAATCCACCTGGCCTTGGCCTCCCACAGTGCTAGGATTATAGGAATGAGCCATCTCGCCCAGCCTAGGAAAGAGTATTCTTTTTTTGTTGTTGTTCTTGCAGTTGTCTTTTTTTGTTTTTTAGGTGGCCCGGGCCGGATTAGAACACCAGCTTTGGTGTATGTGGCCGGCCTCCTACCCACTGAACTATGGGTACCTCCAGAGAGTATTATTGAAGGATTAAAAGAACAACTGAAAAGGTTAAGGCAGTTTTTGGATGAGAGAAGACTGTTTCCAAAGAAACAATAGATGGCCAAAGTAGATAAAACTAAATATAAAATATGCAAAATTTTAGTGGAATACAGGATAATTGTATAGATTTGATTAATAGAAGATCAAGTAGTAGGAAGTATTTGCAAGGAAGAGGCAGACCGAAAACTGCTGATACATGCATAGACTGGTCAGTCACTCTGGTGGGCAAGTTGGCAATGGTGAAGATGATCCAGAAATCTACTAGGTGTAGTTCCCTGAGAAACTTCTGCCATGTATTAAAGGCTGTTCACTGCAGAATTTTTTGTAGAAATGAGAACTAGAAACAATCACATGTCCAGGAATAGGGAAAATGGATAGTATTATATATACTCATACAAAAGGGTATACTGTAAGAACTTATTTACACTGCAGTTAAAATACATAGACTGGATTTGTAAATATGAACACAGACTTCCAAGACAATGTTCACAGAAAAAAGGAAGCTGCAGAACAATATATATAGTAACTATGTAAATTTTGTAAACAGAAAACAGCACGTTCAGACAATGTATAAAATGTTAAAATTTAACAACGAAGGTAAGAGACAAGGACACTGACTTCAAGATAGGGATCAAGGTTTGGGAAAAAGAGTAGCTCTGTGAGGAGACTAGAGGGAATTTCTGTTTCCTTAAACACAAAAGGGCCAAAGCAAACAAAATTATAAACATCTGTTACTTCTAGATGGTGAAAATCTAGGTGTCTGATAATATTTTTCTGAAATATTTAAGATGAGAAAGAAAGTCATTAAGAATAAATGGAGCGGCCTAAGTAGTTCACATGAGAATCCCTATTCTCAGCTTCTCTGGGATAAGTACCTGGCCTGGGCTTCTTTGGCCCATACTCCACGATGCTGTCACTGTGTTGAGATAGTGTCTCCTCATTTCCACTCTCTATCTCTTCATTTCCAATATCTTCTTTATGGTCAGTCTTTTCTTTAATTCGATCACCCAGGGCACTTTTTAACATCTATTGAAAAAACTCTTTCAACATCTTTCACTGGTTTCAACAGAACATAAATGGGTAGGAGTAGACAGATATAACCTTTAAAAAGCTTCCTTTAATGGCTGTTAATAGTATGTTTTCAGATGTTGCTTATGCTTTAGTTTTTTGGTTACTATTTTTTTTAAAGATAGGGTCTTGCTTTGTTGCCCAGGCTGGAGTACAGTGGCACAGTCATAGCTCACTGCAGACTTGAACTCCTCTGGGGCTCAAGCAATCTTCCTCCGTCTGCCTCCTGAGTAGCTAGAACTACAAGCATGTACTACCATGCCAAACTAAGTAAAAAGAAAATTTTTGTATGTAGGGATGGGGTCTTGCTTTGTTGCGCAACCTGGTCTTGAACTCCTGGGCTCAAGCAATCCTTCTCCCTCAGCCTCCCAAAGTGCTCAGATTATAGGCATAAACACTGCATCCAGCCTAATTAATATTTTGTAAGAAATCAGTCATCTATCCAATTTTATACGAGATTTGTCTTTAATGACAAAGGGAACCCATATAGGTATAGCTAAAGATAAACAGTTTAAGCCTGGCATGGTGGCTCACACCTGTAATCCTAACACTTTGGGAGGACAAGGTGAGAAGACTGCTTGAGCTCAGGAGTTCAAGACCAGCCTGAGCAAGTGTAAGACCTGGCTCTACAAAAAATAGAAAATTGGGTGGCGCCTGTGCTCAGTGAGTAGGGCACGGGCCCCATATACCGAGGGTGGCGGGTTCAAACCCAGCCCAACTGTAAGAAAAAAAAAAAAAGAAAGAAATAAAATTTAGCCAGGTATTGTGATAGGCACCTATTGTCCCACCCACTAGGGAGGCTGAGGCAGGATGATCGCTTGAACCCAGGAGTTTGAGGCTGCTGTGAGTTATGATGCCATAGCTCTCAAACCAGGGCAACAAAGTGAGACTCTGTCTCAAAAAAAAATAAATGAAATAAAGTAAATAAATGGTTTAACATCATTCATGTTAAGTGATTTAGTTTTCATCAGAATCATTAAAATTTGGATATACTGGTGCCAAATCTGGTTAGATCATGAAAGGAGAAGAGATGCTTGTTCATGTCCTACCTGCTTGATATATAGAACATTTTCTTTTCTTTTTTGAGACAGAGTCTTCACTATGTGGTTGTCACATAGTGCCATGGTGTCACAGTTCACAGCAACCTCAAACTCTTGGGCTTAAGCGATTCTCTTGCCTCAGCCTCCCAAGTAGCTGGGACTAAAGGTGCCCGCCACAACACATGGCTATTTGTCATTGTTGTTTGGCAGGCCCGGGGTTGGATTTGAACCTGCCAGCTCTGGTGTATGTGGCTGGCACCCTAGCTGCTGAGCTACAGGCTCCAAGCCAGAACATTTTCATAGTAAGTAAGACACAATTCATTTTCCAATACCTTACCTTCAGTGGGGAGACCACTTCTATGTACCCTAATCCATAGCATTCTCAATACAGATTTTAATAAGTAAGACTTGCCCAATCTAGTTCAGAGAGCCGTTGATAAAGTTTCTCTGATACTGCATGTAATTCTTGTTCTGTTAATCTCTTTCTTGGCCTCTGGGGGAAAGGTGAATCCCAGGATGAGGCTGCAGCTCTGTTTTCTTTTCTGTAATAAGTGACCATAAGACACTTAAGCAGCTAGATATTTCTTACTTAATTTAAAATAACTATACTACATGCCTTAACAAATATTTCATACTGGTCTCCACAGCTAAATTTGGAGAATATACACCTTACTTTTCAAATCCCTTTGCAAACAGATTATAAAAACTGAAGCCTGTAGTAATGTTACCTTTTTCCTTTGGGAAGCTTCCTAGTCCTAGGGCCTTGGACCTGAGCTGGGTATGTTTCTTGTTCACTCCATGTATCTTTGGGCAACTTGGAAGTTAAGAAAACTCTGTTATCTGGTTCCTATTAAAAACAGAAAAACATTGATTTGAAAAAGCTACAACGACGACACATACAAACATTCTGGGAGTGGGGAAAGGAGGACCTGTGGCACAAAGCCAGGTCCCTTCAATCTCCATGTTTGCTTTTAAATGCATTAGTGAAAATACTCCACTGACACCCAATGCCACATGATTAGAGCAATGTCTATAAACTTGTGCTCAAAGAAAAAGTGTGGCTCAGGATGCCACTGAAATAAACAACTGAGAGGTTCTGAAACACAAAATTTCAAGGGTTACAAAAATACCTGGACAAGAAAAAAAACGATGAAACCACAAGGGGAAAATATTCAAGTTGTTATCTTTTGTATCAAGGAAGTCAATAAGAGCTGTTCAAAATGGACACAGTTCAAACAAAGAAGAAACTTCTTCAAATATGAATAGAAACTTTTTTTTTTTTTTGAGACAGCCTCAAGCTGTTGCCCTGGGTAGAGTGCTGTGACATCACAGCTCACAGCAACCTCCAACTCCTGGGCTCAAGCGAGTCTCCTGCCTCAGCCTCCCAAGTAGCTGGGACCACAGGCACCTGCCACAATGCCCAGCTATTTTTTGGTTGCAGCTGTCATTGTTGTTTGGTGTGCCGGGCTGGATTTGAACCTGCTACCTTAGGTGTATGTGGCTGGCGCCTTAGCCACTTGAGCCACAGGCGCCGAGCCAGAAACTCTTAATATTTTTAATAATTTGTTAAACTTAGAGGAAATCTTTTAGAAAATACTTCCTAATGATAGCTTCAATTTTACTTCATATCTTTTTCATCTATTAATGCAGAATTAAATTTCATACTTTTTAGAAAATAGCAATGATACTGTAACATTTTTTAAAACTTTTAATAAAATGTAAGTGTCCAGCTTAATGAATTATTTCAAAATGAATATGCCCACTTAACTGCCACCCAGATCAAAAGATAGAAGAGCTGTCACCTAGGCTGGGATGCAGTAACATAATCACAGTTTATTGCAGCCTCCTAAGTCGCTGGGACTACATGAGCATGGTACCATGCCTGGCTAATTTTTTTTTTTCTTTTTCTGAAGACTTTGTCTTGCCATATTGCTCAGACTGGCCCTGAACTCCTGGCCCTCAAGAGATCCTCTGACCTTGGCCAGAAGTACTGGGATTGCAACAGGCATATGTCACCATGCCTGGCCTAAATTATTTAAGGACACACAATATGGATTCTGAAGCCAGAATGCCTGAGTAAAAATCCTGACTCTGATTGCTGTGTAAGCTCAGATAAGAAACTTAACCTCTCTCCATCAGCTTTCCTCATGGAAAACAAATATAGTAACTACATCAGAGTTGTTTTGAGGAGTAAATTATTGTTTTGCTTTTTTTTTTTTTTTTGAGACAGAGTCTCATTTTCTTGCCCTGGGTAGAGTGCCATAACGTCACAGCTCACAGCAACCTCAAACTCCTGGGCTCAAGTGATCCTCTTGTGTCAGCCTCCCAAGTAGCTGGGACTACAGGTGCCCACCACAACACCCAGCTAGTTTTTGTAGAGATGGGGTCTTGTTCTTGCTCAGGCTGGTCTCGAACTCCTGAGCTCAAGCAATCCACCTGCATCTGCCACCCAGAGTGTTCAGATTACAGGCATGAGCCACTGCCCTGGCCCCAGTTTCTGTTTTAATACAATTATCTTGTCCCTATCTTCCTGGAACAAGAACATGCAGGTATATACAGAGGTAACTTTTAATAAGTACAATGCTCTGACTTGTGTAGTATGTTTGATTACTACGTTAGCAGAGACCTCTTTAAACATATGAGCTTCTAACCAATTAAAAGCAAGCTTTTCCGCTTACCACAGATGATTCTGTGTGCTCTCCAGTAGAATTCATGGCCAGGGAGCAGCGGCTTGAACGTAAGTATTCTTTTCCTATGGGACAGGGTGCCCGAGGCTCTGAAGGGTGGTAGGGTGGATGTAAAGGAATAGCTGCTCGGATAGGCTCCCCTAGCTTCCTAGCACTTGGAATCATACTCACAGAAGGGGTTTCCACTAGTAAGACAAATTAAAGTGGGTATTACGATGCAATTCTAAGAAATTATACATGTACACACAGATACTTAAATAAACACGTTCACACACACTAATTAGAAATTTTTCAACTTATTTGAAACAAAGCACAAACACATAAAATAATTAAACCAGGAATGCATCCTCATCAAACAAGTAGGGACCTAATTTAAACCAGGATTTAATTTTAATGTTATCATTAAAATGTTCCAATGTTCCCTGAAAGCTATTTAAAAATAATAAAAAATTGAAAGCAATGTAAATGGGTTGAAGAATGGGTATGTAAATAATGCTTCATCAACATGTTAGAAAACTAGTTACCCATTAATGATTCCATGTGATACTACTATATAAAAATCCCAGTCATAACAATAAGGACTGACAATATTTTTCAAGATACGTGTTCTGTATTTTGTCATTCACTAACAATCTGAACACCAGCAGATGATGTACTAATGTATCACAGACTCTTATTGTCCTTTAAAAACAAAAAGTTTTTCCTAGGAGGGTATAGAGATAATACAATCGTGGGTGCAAAAATATGCGAACAAAGACCATCTTAAGCAGAAATCACTCATAATTAAAAGTATACATCATCTTTATAAAAAAGTCTTTATAAAGATGATGTATACTTTTATATCTTTATAAAAGATGATGTATACTTTTATCTTTATAAAGATGATGTAGGCTTGGCGCCTATAGCTCAGTGGCTAGGGTGCCAGCCACATACACCAGAGCTGGCGGGTTTGAATCCGGCCCGGGCCTGCCAAATAACAATGACAAATACAACCAAAAAAATAGCCGGGCGTTGTGGCAGGCGCCTGTAGTCCCAGCTACTTGGGAGGCTGAGGCAAGAGAATCACTAAAGCCCAAGAGTTGGAGGTTGCTGTGAGCTGTGATGCTACAGCACTCTACTGAGGAAGACAAAAATGAGACTCTGTCTCAAAAAAAAAAAAAAGATGTAAAACCAAAATGAATCTCATATAAAACAACAAAAGTAAAAAGGCTAATAGCAGTAGTAACTGACCCAAGAATTATTGTCCCCAACTCAGTTATAGTCTAAAGAACTAATACCCATTATACTTACTGTCCTCAGCAAAGATTGACCTATTCTTGGATAAAAAACTGGATGAAGGAGGGTATAGCACATCTTCATGTGATTTAGAAGTTGGTGAGTTTGAAGCTTTTTTAGAGTATGTTTCATTAGAACTTTGGGCACCTGGGAAAGAAAATATTAAAGGTAAAAATTTTAACTACCAAAATAACTAAATACTACAGTATAAGAGTTTTATATTTAAGAATAAAACTCAGTAATAACATAACATTGGAAAAACTATGTTGGTCCAATTGCATGAAATTTCAATAATTTCTTTTTTTTTTTAAATAAATTTCAATTATTTTTAATAACTATCAGATATCATTAAGATGTAGTTCTGTATCCCAAAATAATTTATACAATTTAAAAGCAAAGTTTTAGGCTTGGTGCCTGTAGCTCAGCAGCTAGGGCGCCAGCCACATATACCAGAGGTGGCAGGTTCGAACCTAGTCTGGGCCTGCCAAACAACAACAACTACAATGAAAAAATAGCCAGGCATTGTGGTGGATGCCTGTAGTCCCAGCTACTTGGGGGGCTAAGGCAAAAAGAATCGCTTAAGCCCAAGAGTTTGAAGCTGCTGAAGCTGCTGTGAGCTGTGACGCTGTGGCACTCTACCACTCTACCAAAAGCCACATAGTGAGACTCTGTCTTAAAAAAAAAAAAAAGCCAAGTCTTTTTATTGTCTCATTATTATGTCTCATTATGTCTCATTATTATGTCTCAGAACACCATGTGCTGAAGTTGTAGAAATGCTGTTGTATGGGCATGTCTCTGGGTATGAAGAGATAGCAGATTCTTGGCTAGCACCACATAGATTTATAGTCCAGAAACTGAAGCTTCTATCAGATGCCTATAAATGTATAGGACATTTACTAGACATCTTAAATGGAATATCAAAAGAAGCTTCTATACACACTTTTATCACATCAAACCATGTCTCTACTCAATCTTTTCTCCTTTGCCTTAATTCCACTACCTTTAAACACAATTCCTCTCTATATAGAAAGATGTGATTATTTTTAAATAGCATTTGGTATCATACAACCCACTTCTAATATCACTGTCCTTCCATCTCCCATCAATCTATCTGATCTTCTTCCTTCCAGAAATATTTCTGCATTACCAACAAGTGACTCTGATCATGCCATCACTTTGCCTATGCCAATGGCAAGCCTATCTTTGGTCTACTACCAGACCTTCCAGACTTAAGTTCTTTGAACATAATTCCTTGAAACACAATGTCTATTTCTTGGAATCAGAGTGCTGACACTGAAAGGGACATTAGAGATGGGTTACTCCAATTCTAATTTCACACCTGAAAATACTGGAGCTCAGAAAAGGTAAGAGTCTTGTCCATAATTACAAGCCAGTAGCAGAATCTGGATGAGAAGGAAGGCCATTTGATTCCTAGGTTAATATACCTAATTCCACTCTAGCATTCTCATTAGTCCATCCAAAAAATATTGTAGCCTGGTGTTTTGCCAACTTTTGGAATACTAAAATAAATACAAATAATTTCATTATATAATTTATCAGCTGCCCCCACAATGGCAGGGATTTGTTTTGTTTACCACAGTATATCACCCCTGCCTAGCACAGGGAAGGCCCTGAATATGTATTTGCTGAATAAATATGATATGTCTACTGTCCCTCAGAGCTCAATTTACTTAAGAGACAAACTATAAGTCACCATGCAATGTGTAAATGGTGTTACAGAAAGATCACCCTGCAGGAACAAAGAGCCTCAGAGCCCACAGCAGGTGGTGGAGGCTGTGCACTTGAGGGTGAGTTGCCAGGAACAGAAAAGAAGGAAAAGCATCCCAGGGAGAGCACAGCACCTAGGCAGCTAGAGTAGGATGATGGGAGGAAGCTAAGGTGGGAGGCTCAAAACTGGGGCCTGAAAGAAATGCAGGTCTACTGTGTACAAGCAGTAAGCTGCTGGAAAAGTGGCCTGAAGCCTGGGAGAAAACTTACCACTGGGTATTCAAACGTGTTAAAATGATGGAAAAAAGTGAGTCAAACCAGTTCATTCTTCCCAAGTACCTACCATAAATTACATGACAACCTTTATCCACCTATTTGCCTTGGAGTCATCTACCCATATATCTGTGACCCCACTTGACTGTGATTTCAGGTAACTGTTCATATTTCTTTCTTTTTTTTTGGTTGAGACAGAATCTATGTCGCCCTCGGTAGAGTGATGCGCCATCACAGCTCACAGCAACCTTAAACTCTTAGGCTTAAGCAATTCTCTTGCCTCAGCCTCCCAAGTAGCTGAGACTACAGGTGTCTGCCACAACGCCTGGCTGTTTTTAGAGATGGGGTGTCAGTCACTCTTGCTTAGGTTGGTCTCAAACTCCTGAGCTCAAGGGATCCATCCACTTGGGCCTCCCAGAGTGCACTAGGATTGCAGGCGTGAGCCACCGTGCCCAGCCCTATTTTCACAATTTTAAATATTCCTATGTATTAACTATTTACATTTTTTATAGTTGTATACTAAATAATATTTAAAGTTTAACTACTCACCATTACTTCTTAGCGAAAAGGTGTGTGCTGTGTCTCCAAGTCTAATACTTTCACCCATAGATTCTGCTTCATCTCCATCCCAAGTCGGACCTACAGCCTCAGACGAGGAGCACCTGAAAGAGTTCCCCCATTCACTCAGCACCCAGCCCAACCACAGAGGGCCCTTCCTCAGAGGACCTGTGAGCTGCTTTAAGCAGCTAGCCTGTAAGTGTTCAAACTGCTCACTGCTAGGGAAGAAATAGGAAAAGACTATCCCTTTTGATGCTTATCATGTCTTGACTGGTATATAAATGGTATGTATTTCAAACTGTATGAATGACATGTTATATAGTGATTAAAAATTATTACAAAGAGCTTAACAACTTCAGAAGACTTAATGTTAAATTTAAAAATGCAAGAAACAAGTCTATATAGACAATATGACTAAATTCAATAAAAAAAACAGTAAAAAGGACTAAACATATAAGGAAATATTAATAGCAATTATTTAGTTCTGAATGATATATCTTTTTTTTTTCTGCTTTAAAAGTTTTTCTCTACTTTGCCACATTTTCTGCAAGAAGATGAACTACTTTGATGATCAAAGGAAAAACATAAAAATGAGTAAGGTAGTTACTAGTGAGAATTAGGTATTATATATAACTGAAGGGTCTTAAAACTCCCTCAGGAAGGTTTAAAATATGAGAAGTTAGTGAAATTTTCACATTAACTTTGGCGCTATCCTGATATATTATGTGCAATTTTAATCTCATTAAAAAAGCCATAATTTGTTTTGGTTAAATTCAAGGAGACTGAGTGATACCTCCCAAAAGAAACTCTTTTCCATGATGATTTAGATTCTTTAGTACTTTCTCGCTCTTCCAAAGTTTGTCCTCGATGAGAGTCTGTAAAATACTTGTCAGTTTCACCTGTTCAGAACGAATAAAAACGGTAATACCCCAAATTCCCAAGTTATTCCTACTCCTTCTATACAAGAGGCAGAGAGAAGTAAACACAGTGAGTACTCCCAACCTGTTCTGGTAGACTGGGCTCTCATGAAAGTGAAATTACAAACAACTAAATCATCACCTCTGATGAGCATGTATTACTTGAATAACAAAAAAATAAGAATGTTGATTTAAAAGCAAGGTTGGGCTGGACTCGATGGCTCACACCTGTAATCCTAGCACTTTGGGAAGCAGAGGTGAGAAGACTGCTTGAGACCCTATCTCTACAAAATACAGAAAAATCAGCCAGGTGCAGTGGCGCCCACCTGTAGTTCCAGTTACTCAAGAGGGTGAGGTAGGAGGATTGTTTGAGGCCAGGAGTTTGAGGTTGCAGGGATCTAAGCTCAGGCCACTATATTCTAGCCTAGATGAATATGGTTCTATCTCAAAAAGAAAAAAGATATTAAAAAAAACAGGGTCTGGGTGGTGCCTGTGGCTCAGTGGGTAGGGCATTAGCCCCATATACAGAGGGTGGCAGGTTTGAACCCGGCCCCGGCCAAACTGCAACAAAAAAAATAGCCGGGCGTTGTGGTGGGCGCCTGTAGTCCCAGCTACTTGGGAGGCTGAGGCAAGAGAATTGCCTAAGCCCAGGAGTTGAAGGTTGCTGGGAGCTGTGACACCACAGCACTCTACCAAGGGCAATAAAGTGAGACTTTCTCTTAAAAAAAACAACAACAACAACAACAAAAAAAAAAAAACAGGGTCTACAGTTTTATCCATAATGTTTCTTTTTTTTTTTTTTTTTTTTTTGAGACGGAGCCTCAAGCTATCCCCCTGGGTAGAGTGCTGTGGCATCACGCTCACAGCAACCTCCAACTCCTGGGCTCAAGCGAGTCCCCTGCCTCAGCCTCCCAAGTAGCTGGGACCACAGGCGCCCGCCACAATGCCTGGCTATTTTTTGGTTGAGCCATCATTGTTGTTTGGCGGGCCCGGGCTGGGGATTTGAACCCGCCACCTTAGGTGTATGTGGCTAGCGCCTTAGCCGCTTGAGCCACAGGCGCTGAGCCGTTTCATTCTTTAAAGTAAGGTAACAGATTCAGTTTTTATTCTTTACATCTCTCTATCTGTACGGGATCTTTGAGCCAATCAACTGAGATCACCAAAAAAATATGACTGTGTCAGCCTACTTCATGCTCTGAGACAGTCTGCCTTAGGCTAACAGTCAGACAGTCATGGCTTTAAAGAAATTTCTTTTAAGACCACCAAACCCTTTCTACCACAATATACTTGAGGGATATACACTTTCACCAGCAGCAGTAATTCACCAGGACAGTGATTTCAGGAGATACATGGGTAAAACCTAAGCTTCAGATTGATCACTCAGGATATTCCCACATATGGGCACTTCTCTAGAAATTCATAGTTCAAGCATGTACTTTCATTTTTTTTTCTATTTCTGCATTCACCAAGCAACATTTTAATAACATTAATTAATACTTACTATGCATTTACTCTGAGGTAGGCTGCTAAAAACAAAGAATTTATGTTAACTACTGCTGCTAAAAACTTTTATGTTAACTACTACTGCTGTTAACTACTGCTGCTAAAAACAGGTTTACTAACTTTCCAATATAAGAATAGGTGCTATGTTATCCCATCCATGACTAATTAACATGATTTACTTCATCTCAAATTTTTTTCTTTTTCTTTTTAATAGACACAGGGATCTTGCTCTTGTTCAGGCTGGTCTCCAACTCCTGAGCTCAAGTGATACTCCCACTTCAGCCTCCCAGAGTGTGAGGATCTTAGGCAAGGGACACCACACATGGCCCTACCCCCTCCTTTTTTTAAAATAATAAATAACAATGCAATGAAGACTCTTATTTTATATTATTTCCTTATAATAAGTTCCTAGAAAGTGAGATCTATTGAACCAAAGATTATAAAAAAGTCTTAGCCACTGCTAATTGAGTTTAAACAACCTCTTTTGGATAATAATATGAAAATGTCAATCTTTATAATTTTCATTAAAAACATAAAACTTTCACACAGTAAGTTGTCACAATTTGAGGAACTGAGTTATTCAAAGAATAAAATAAAAAATATTCAAGTTGTCATAACATGAAAGAGTAGGTTGAAGTCAGAAATGCAGCAGTCCTTGGCTGGGCATAGTGGCTCATGCCTGTAATCCTAGCTCTTTGGGAGTTCAAGGAGGGAAGATTGCTTGAGCTCAGGAGTTCAAGACCAGCCTGAACAATAGAAGACCCTATCTCTATTAAAAATAGTAAAGTAAGCCAGGTGTTGTGGCAGGTGCCTATAGTCCTAGCTATTTGGAAGGCAGCAGAAGGATTGCTTGAGCTCAGTAGTTTGAGGTTGCTGTGAGGCTGAGGCCATGGCACTCTAGCCTGGGGTCTTTGTCTCCAAAACAAAGGGCACCAATTCTTCCTGTTGATGCTTCAATAACATTCAAATTTGTAATATAGGTAACAGTTTTGACAGAAAATTCTGGAGTAAGGAATTTTATGCAAGCATGGGACTATAAACAATTTCACCAGAAATTCACCTTTTAATTATAGATTAGTTTGAAAGTAATTTATAAGCAACATTCAAGTTATTGAAGAACACGATGACAGCCTAGCCAAGAGTTTCTAACTACTTGGAACAGAAAGAATTGGAAATTTACAACTAAAATTTTCAGGTATACTGTTTTAGTGATTCTGCTTCCTATAAACAAAATAGGCAACAAGGACATTACATAATGTAGATCAAACCAAATTTCCATTCTTGTACTTACTTTTCTCATGAGATGTTTCACTAATATGTTCTGTAAGATATTCCAGCAACCCATCAAATATTTCTAGGAGATTCTTAATAGATTCTTTATCTCCTTTCACGATATTTTCTCCTGAACACAGAATATAGAGCTATTAAAAAATCTGAAAGCCATATATCTTGAAATGGATATAACACTGCAGAAATCCTATTCCAAAACACAGGAAAAACAATGATACTACAAATATTAAAAACACCAATTTCTTGCTGCCTGATTATTCCCTAAGAAATAAAGAAGGTAGCCTTAAATATGATGTTTAATAATTTCTGGCATAACCCTTTCTTTCTTTAAGAAACAAAATAACCGGACTTGAGAAAACATCCTCTAGTAAGATTTATACAAAAACACAAAGCAGCTTAAGCAGAATTTTACCACACTCGTGAAAAATTGGCAAAACACAACCCTTTCAGACCGTGGGATCCCACTGTAGACAGTAGTTTGTTCACAAAATGACAAAAGTTAACAAAACAATAAACTTGCAGGGATACCTTCATCAGGAATTCCATGATATCCCCCCCACCCTGAGTATTTGTTAACTTCTATTCATTTTGTGTAGATCATACCATTTTTCTGATTAAAACCCTATCCATTGCTCCCTTTCTAAAATTTAAGCCTTGCATATACAATTAATCATTAATTTGTGAGAACTGCATACTCAAAAATGTTATACTCATACATTAATCATGAAACAATCCCTAGCACAGTACCCAGCCCATAATCACTTTGTAATACAAATGTTAAGTTGAAATTTTGAATAGAAACAGGTTGACCAAAGCATGAAGACTTGATGTGTTTAATGTTACCTAAAGTGGACTGCAATCAACATCACTGGGGAGATTATGCCTGGTACTCTCATGAGTTCAAACCGGTATGGGACAAGCAGAGTAGAAATTTGTTATTTAGAAGAATCCAGACATTCATAACTTTAGCCATGATGCAAAACAAACCTAAACCAGAAATTTGATATTTTACCCTACTACGGGTAAAGACAGACAATGTTAGACAGTGTTTTTCTGTTTAATGAGAAATCTTATCTTTGAGCCTGTGTTTTTCTGGCTTAAAATATGTAAGTATACCCCAAGGGTAGACCCAGGACTTCTGAGTTTCTAGGATGGGGAATATACTTTGACAACCCAGCAACTAAAACTGTTGGCCAGAATGCAGTGCTTTATGGTATAAGAGAAACTACTTTAAACAGAACATAAGAGATAAAAAAGCTGTTTTGCAGTCCACTAAAGGAGGTAAGCAGTTTTACAGTTTTTCATGGTGTGAGTATAATTTGTCAGAGGCAGCTTCCATTAAATAGGGCGCCAACCCCATATACCAGAGATGGTGGGTTCCAACCTGGCCCCAGCCAAAAAAAAAAATTTCTACTGGTGGCGCCTGTGGCTCAAAGGAGTAGGGCACTGGCCCCATATGCTGGAGGTGGCAGGTTCAAACCCAGCCTCGGCCAAAAGAAAAAAAAAACTGCAAAAAAAAAAAAAAATTCTATTAACGTATTTATGTTTAAAACTTTGCTACAGTATTTTATTTTATTTTTGAAACTGAGGCTCACTGTCTTGCCCCAGTAGAGTGCCCTGGCCTCACAGCTCACAGCAACCTCAAACTCTTAGACTCAAGTGATCCTCCTGCCTCAGCCTCCAAAGTAGCTGGGACTACAGGCGTCCACCACAACGCTGGGCTACATTTTTTTTTTTAAATAGGGTCTTACTCTTGTTCACACTGGTCTTGAACTCACTAGCTCAAGCAATCCACCTGCCTCGCCCTCCCAGAGTACAGGGATTATAGGCATGAGTCACCACGCCTGGAGCTATATTATGTTTAAAAAGCACAAACAGGGCAGTGCCTCTGGTTCAGTGAGTAGGGCGCCAGCCCCATATACTAAGGGTGGCAGATTTGAACCTGGTCCAGGCCAAACTGCAACAAAAAAATAGCCAGGCGTTGTGGCAGGCACCTATAGTCCCACCTCCTCGGGAGGCTAAGGCAAGAGAATCACCTAAGCCCAGGAGTTGGAGGTTGCTGTGAGCTGTGATGTCAAGGCACTCTACTGAGGACAATAAAGTGAGACTCTGTCTCTTAAACAATAAAATAAAGAGGCTCGGCACCTGCGGCTCAAGTAGCTAAAGCGCCAGCCACATACACCTGAGCTGGTGAGTTCCAATCCAGCCTGGGCC